TACCGGTATACTTCGTCTAAATACTAATACTCCCTCTCGGTAAGTAATTGACAACTGTTCCTCCTCAAGAAAGACATCTAAAATGCAAGCCAAAGAGTTACAAAAAAAATTGTATACATTCTGGTTCAATGGTAATAATAAAGTATCTTGCCTATATTCCAGCATAACCTTGTGCCGATTAACTTAGTTAAGGTTAATAGACTTCAAGTATGGAGATCCCATCTCAAACGATTTGATAACGAGGTGGTTTAACGGTGGTAAGGCCGTAGACGATGCCTGTCGTGAAGGGTTTGGAAATGTGCTGGAGGAGATTAGAAACGAGAGAATATATATTGATGAAATGAAACAAACGCCTCAGGTTAGGATCCTGTATAATTTAGTGTGTTAACGGTCGAGTTTATGAAGATAACAGGGAATGAAATTTGCCCTTGGTTTGGTACTTTTTATCAACTAAAACAGGGCGCACTCGGCCTAATAATTCTTCTCGATCAACTTCCTCGCAACATTTTTCGTAAGACGGCCACCCCTTTCCGGGTATTCGATCCAATAGCGCGGGAAATAACTAGTTACGTCCTTGAGAATAAGTTGGACGAACAAGTAAATCACATCGAAAGAATCTTCTTCTACTTGGTAAATGTAGATCGGGAGGCATTTATTTCATCGACAATCATTTCATCGACAGTACACTTCACCGACAGTCATTTCATGTGACACATTGCTTATCATTGGTTTTCGATGAAATTTATGTCGGTGAAACGTACTGTCGGTGAAATGATTGTCGATGAAATGAACCGGACCCATGTAGATCACGAGCTTAGTTTCGCTTAATCACAGCATATCAATTCATATTCTCGTTTCTCAAATACGTTACAGCCCCTTGAACATTCCGAAAATCTGCAAGATCAAGAACTCTGCGTGCAAAAGTTGCTTGAAAACTGGAATTCGGCTCCTCCTGTATATCAAGGCTTTTTGGAAAAAGCTCATGACTTTGCCTTGCAACACTATGAGATAATCAAGCGTTTCGGCAGATTTCCTCACAGAAACCAAGTGCTCGAGAGGGAATTCACACCAGAGGAAACTGAATACATGAATAGTGGACCAAATACATTTGGCCAGTAGAAGTGAACGATAAAGTTTTAACACAGTATGTCCATATTATTATTTATTTCGGGTTATTTACAATCATATCAGTTAATGTACGTCAAGTATTATATGGTCATAAACATTTCTAAATTGTTCGAGGACCATGAAAGTGATTATTGTGTGAGGGGTAAGACGAATGAGCCAACCTTTGAAAAGCGTTGCCGGGCCTTCTTTACGGATAATTAGAGCAAGACTGGCAACGACCCCTGGTAGACAATTAGATTCAATGTTACACATATATAGTCAGAATTGTAATCGAGATTGACTATATATATCTTTGTTGATCAATGACGTCAAGTGGCGAACAGACCGTCGTCGCGACCAAACCCTAGCAAATCACCGGTCTTAAAACTAAAGCTATTTGATAACAGAATTTCCGTTGCCCAACAATTTTTGACTTACCGATAGAGAACTGGCACAAAAAGGCGTTATATAATTATCCTTGATACCAATAACAGTTCCTTAAACTAATTAGAAAGCTGTTGAGAGCTGACGCCCTACTTTGTACGATTTCCAAATTTGATCGAGGTCCAAGAAAATCATTGTTGTTATTTACAAAAAAAGAAAATCTTGAGTTTAATAGCAAACGGTTATTTAATAATTGATGTGTAATCATAATGTATGTTTATTTACTGCTTTTAAGATACAAAAATTTACCGAAAAATACATAACATGAAAATTGTTTCTTTTATGACAATACAATACACGTATTCGTCAGTAAACAAAAACAAACAAGAAAAATGTATAAAATATCTTTTTAAAAAATTCTATAAAAAATTAAATTCCCTATCGCCATACCTTCTACATTACTTTTCTCTTGAAGAAAGTAAAAAAATGCCCACTTCCTTTTCCGTCATTGCTTACATTACCCAACAAACTGTAGAAGCCATAAACGAGTACAACATACAAAAAAGTCTCGCATACTGTCGCCTACCCGACGATAACTCCCAACTGATACGATTTACATATTTTGTTCCTGAAAAAGAGAATATTCCGACGAAAACAAATCTTTGACGGACCGCTGACCGTACGCATTCAACAAGGATCTCGCGTAATGTTCTTAAATAATTTTCTTATAGAAAAGGTATTTGCAATGGAACTATTGGCATTATTATTATCACTGATTTTGATAAAGATTCGTACTCTGTCCAAGTGGCATTTTGTGTACATAATGCAATAGCCCACTGTTGAATACAACGACACACTTTATACTTTTATGCTGCAGGGCAAAAAGCTTCCCGAACTCAGTTTCCTCTACAGAATTTGTTCGCTCTAACAATAATAAAACTCAGGGTCTTGCATTCAAAAAAAAACTGTATCATTAGATCATCGCATATTTTCTCCGGGTCAAACTTACGTTGCAATTAGCAGGTGTCCGACTTGGGAAAACCTCAACATCAGTGCATTAGACAGAACTGCTTTCATAACCGATTCAAATGTAGTAAAAGAATATGAAAGACTACAACGTGTTGCTCAACAATTTTCAATAACTTCCCTATTTCAACCTGCATATCGAAAATGAAACTAACTACTGCACATTACTTAACATATTAACTGTACTCTATTATAACACTGGACTTCTAGTTTATCAATAATAAAATTAGCTCGGCGATATTTTTTTAATCGACCAACAAAAATCATCCAATCACAGTGAATGTCCACTTTCGGCATATACGTCAAAGACTTACATATCAAAATTCCTCCTTTAGGCAGTTGGCAATTCAGATATATCGCTGAAAGTGTGTCAAATATGTGATCGGTAAACAGTGCAATTTATTACTATTACGTGCTTTCTGATAGTTAACCATGTATGTATTAGCTTCATGTACAAACTGATAATGGCATTTTGAAATAATTTTTGATAAAGCAAACTATGAAACATGCTTTGTCTGATAAGTGGAACTGCTAATTGAGATTTGTTGTTGCAACTCGAGAGCTACTAATTCTGGGGACAATAAGTCGCAAACATCGGTGTTGATAGCTATAGAAAAACTCATGCCTGGACATTCCCAACCAATAACTTCAATATTACGTTGCAAAGCATGGGTGGCGGAAGAATGCTGGATTATCCAAGTCCCTTAACAGATCTTACGCATGAGGTGTAGAACGCATCTGACATTGTTTATGTCCAAATCCTTGTTGCAGTTATATTTTCCCAAGTACGATAACGTCATGTGATTCCTATATGGATTAAGTCGTTTTTACTATTACCTTAGATTCTAAATTAAAGTACCTGATTTCTGTTCTGAGAAAGCTGAGAAATCACTTTCTTATTATGATGCGAATTTCTCCCCCCTGCGTTTGTAATGCAACCGAATGTAACACTAATATGCTTTTAATATGTCATCAACTCCTGATTAATAATTGAATGACGTACCTTTTGTCAGCAGAAATAATTCTAAATCTGTTCGTCGTAGCTTTTAGTCGCAGAAAATGGTGGGCTCCGTTCCTGATATGTTACGCACAATAGTTCCGGATTATACTTGTCTACTACTACCCTGAAGAGGTTAAAAGTTACTGTTACACAAATACCGATATAATCGAGTTGGATGAGTCTCTCAAGTAAAAAGAAAAAGAAAAAAAAAGAAACACATTACTAACAGCCAGCAAGTTTTTTGTAAGTCTCATAAAATTGATTGCTCTTCTTACTTATAAGGGGTTTATAAACAAAGAGAGAAACTTGGAAAGGCATCCTTCGATCGCTAGTGTTACATATTTGGTTGGTCTTGCATCCCACTTTAACCTTATCGACCAAAACGATTGGCATTACAAATGTCCGTTGACGGAAATGATAAAACCCTTAAATCCAAACGTAGGTGTAGTGAACTGTTTTAAACATTAATACTTGTATCTGCCTTTTTCAACAATGGTTATTGCCCATTGTTGTAAAAGGCATTCAACCGCTCTAAAGCAAACAAGAGCTTTTCAGGTGCAAGTCTGCTTGTATACTAATCGCTAACCTAATGATCGTACCCCTCAATTAGGTAACTCGTCAAAAAAGTATTTTACGCAGTTCAAGTAAAATCAAATATCTTACATACAGTACCTGATACGGACGTAATGCTATAATGATAATATTTGCGATCGCCATACTCCCCTTGACACGTTTAGATGTGTAACCGGGTTGACTCTATATTAAGCTACAGTTGATAACCGTAATACAATTATAAATCGACATTAATCTACAATTTATTTATATCGATACGATCCGAAGGGATCATTTACAATTGCTCATTTACACGTAATGTGATTTACATTATGTCATTTGACAACCTAGATAAAGTTGAACCATTCACAAATATCCCCGTTTTAGCTAAATTAAAAGGCTCATATGCAAACAAATCAACAATACAGCTCTTGTTGTTCACTTGAATTAAATTGTTTCACATTCGAAAAAGTAGAAAAATGTCCTGTAACTGTGTTACAAACGCTTTACCTTTCTCGGTTTCGCGATCGACGTGCATTATAATAACCAATACTGTATTGTATGGTTGTTTAAAAACCGCACGTATGCGATCGTAGCAGACTCTCATCGTTTGATACGATTTTGTACGATAGTATTATTAATGTGAAAAAGACAAAGAAATAAACCGACCCTTTTTTTTTTCTCCTACCAAAAAAATTAAAAATTCGAAAATTCGAACAACTGTAAATAAGTGCCAACATCTGGAAAGCCGGTCTTCTACTTCTTATCCCGGCAACTCGAAAAATACGAATACTTGCGTATACATAAATATACATTGTATGTGTTAAAAGCCATATCGCTAGGTTTTCTTTTAATTTCACTGCTCAGAAGAGAAAAAAAAAAAGCCGACTACATCGACTGTATTTTCAAAAGAACATTTTAACATAAAAATATGAAGTGGCGGGCCTGGTTCCTGATTCCAATACTTGGACTGGTCGGAAGGTTGGGGAAAGCAGACACGCAGACGGGTACAGGTAAAAATACAAGCATACACATTATTACTTTCTTACGGTCGTCCATGTCTTGTTTTCAGCTCAAAATCAACCATGCTTTACGTTATCTTCCCCACCAACAACAGCTACATCATGTCAGCATGGACTTTTGCTATCCCCAGGTATACAGAAACACTCCTCTCTACTCACTCCCGTGCAATCAGTTGTGGATAGGCTTTGCATACCGAATTCGCCTGCTACAGTTAAATTTTGTAAATACATGGAAACCCGTCATATAAAAATAGAAAAAACATTGACACATCATGTAAATAAAAGGCAATCGTCTGGTTATAAACTAATATTGGGTAAACGTGGCAACAAAAAAGAAGTAAACACTGAGAGTAAGTCAAATTCGAGAGCTTATGCAAAGTATCATGTGAGTGGACGCAAGGATAGGCGAAAGAGAAGAGAAAAAAGGCTTTATGCAGACCGTTCGACTATTGGAGGTAAATTATGTTTTATTATTAGAATTACTGATTATGTATATATACATGTATGTATGCATGTATATAGCAATAACTAAACTGCACACTCAAAATTGTCACTCGATGTATTTTTAGATTATACATTCCAACATCGCACTTTAACCCAGCGCGATACCATGCCAGATAGTTCACACTTATCATCATCACCAAAAATACGATTCCTTTTTTCAACAAATTCGTCAACTTCTTTGGGCGACATAATTAACATGTGGGCATCGATAATAATACCGATTGGCGCGCTAATTCTCATAGTGATAATCTGCATAGTGGTTAGGATCTGTACTGGCAGAAAAAAACCCGCTCGATCGACTCCATCTCCAACAGTTTCTGGTCCGCTGGCGGATAATGTTGATGTTACAAACGTAACGGATACAAGGACTGTGGAAACTTTTGTGGGTTTGGAAAGACGACTGGATGCTGATGGGATGCTGCCACTACCACCACCGCCACCAATACCCGGGAACATGCAATACGTCTATGACAAATATGCTGACTTGCTACCATCTCGACCAGAGTCTATATACTCTGCAGGAACCGCTTCTACGGGACTTTATAGAAAAGCAAGAGGCGACAGAGTAGATGTAGTAGACAGAAGAATGATGGTAAACAAAGCCGACAATTATGTAGGCAGGGTAGGAGCAGACAGAAGAATGATGGTAAACAAAGTCGACAATTATTTAGGCAGGGTAGAAGCAGACAGAAGAATGATGGTAAACAAAGTCAATAATTATTTGGCTAGTCCAAATAACTATCAAAAAAAAGTTCGCGGTAATAGTGGTAATAGTGGTAATAGTAGTAATATTCGTATCGGCGTTACAGTGGTAGATCCTACCAGAAAGCAATATTATTCTGACGCTCGCAATTACAACAGCAACAATCTCATGCCTTATGATAATCGTGCTGCGCAAATGACAAGGTTTCCAAAACAAGCATATATTCCACAAGCGACATTTGGACGTGGAAGAAACAGTTGGGGACGCAATTGGGTTTAGAACATTAATAGGTAGTCGCCATCTACAAAAATAATCGAGTTGGACTTTCTTTGTCTTTTGAACAATGTGCCGGGATAGAAAGAGGGAGAGAGATGTGGGGGTGTTTGGAGAGCAATCTTTTTGGACACTTAATGACTTTACAAAATTTTGCATATATTGATTTATGCAAATAATCCAGGCTTTATTACGTATATAGATAACTTTTATTATATACACAATAAAGTTGAGGTTGCTATTACTAATACTAATACTCTTAATAATTTAACTATTTGACCTAAAATGTCATCGAGAAGATAGAATGCTATAATTTTTGAGTTATTTTGGCAAATGCTTAATAATTCTAATGCAAGCCTTATCATTCTTATAAGGTCACACGCTGCACAAATACAGGATATTTTTAGCAGCAAAGTTATCAATTTACATTAATATTGTATTGTTGTCGATTTTTGATCAAGACCGGTTTGTTATGGTCACATGCTAAATCAGCTTTAAACTTTAGAGTTAAATATATTGTATATGTTTGAATGTTTTTCAAACCTGTTCTTACATTCCACAATACTAGCTTTAAATGTAATGCGTGTGCTACGTAGGCATTCTAATGTCTTTCACGTGTATTGCTTTACAATCAAACTATGAACAAATGCAAATTTGTTTAATGATTCGAGAGAGGAGCGACAGTTAACAATACATCCGCCCGCTATTTTCAAGCGAAGGACTATGTATGTAATACTCCCCCATGTCTCATAGACGCCTCATAATTAATCTGAATTTTTACGATTTCTTGATGAGCGTTTGCCGAAGGAAACGGGTGTCAGTCAATAAATTTCTTACATATCGCAAACTTGATAATGTTCAAATATTTTGTTCGCGGAGAAGGTACGAGTCAATATCACAAGCCTTTTGTCAAGAGACATCCTCGTTAATATACAGATGCTCAATAGAGGATACCATCTATCGCATAGGTTACTGCCGCATATTAAAATACTTGCGAATCTGAGCGATGCATATGGAACACGTTACCGATATCTGGGATAAAATACATCTGTGAAAAGCCTCAAACTCATGCACCATGTGTAGAAAGTTTGGAAATTTTATATTTCGTCACACCAATCTATTTACTTATGACTCTTCGGAACTCTTGACTTGCAATCTAATGCAAAGCCTTTTTTTTTTCGAAATAGCCAGATCATTTGCCATTCTCAAATTTCATCTTGCATGTCTATATCATCTGGTACTCTTTTGTTAATTACTCCTTTTGACATTATCATCTGTAGAGATCCAAGGACTTTTGATAGTTCAGTCTGAATTTTCACTTCATGCTGTACTTTGTCCCGTAATTTGGATATTAATTTCTCGATTATCGGTGACTTGCTCAAAACCGAGGCGTACATGTCTGAATGAGGCGGGAATGTAAAAGTTTCGAGTTAGTTATGATTGTCTAAACCCATTGGAATTTACACGACAGTCACTATTCCAATCAAATAAACGCATTTACCCAGAGTTGTTTCACCAACGTCAACCAAGAGGCTAGCATATCGCGTATTGTTGATGTTTTTTAACAAGAACTTTAATATAGGTTCTAATGAGACATCGTCTCTTCCTTTGAGTGCTTGCTTCAGGCCTCCACGATGTATCAATTCGTACAAGAGTGAAACGGTCACTATCACACGGGTACCCTATAGGCAAGGGGGGGAAAGGTTAATACATCAACCATAATAACTGCAATGTACGATCAATCCGAATACTCACTGGTCTCAATGCAGCATCCAATGCATTTCCATATTGGAACTTTCTCAAATACTGATCATACAAGGCAATATGCTTGTTACGTCGTGATTCGATTATGTAATCCTCCTGGACAATTCAGATAAAATGTTTAGCATGCGAAACGTAAAACTATATGCATGTACATACGTCATCCTAACCGCAAAACCATTCTTATAATTATCGACTGACCTCTTCACCCCGATATTGAGCTCCTCTGACATAGTACGTGTATGTCCCGCCTCTAACTTTCTTGTTGTTGTGGTGCGTTAACAGGTTGGATTGCTCGGATGTTGATTTTCTTTTGTGCACTGACAATAGTCCTTGTACCATTCCCACGGCTAAGTGAGTATCATCGCTCTATATCGACAAAAATATATTGGTACGTTGTTGAGATTCACTTGCTCTTCACGCCGGTTAGCCTTGAGCTTCCCCCCAATTGATACATAATACTCACAGAACAAGCAACAGTCAGCACTGGTGCAGGATGTTTAAAGTTATAAATAACTTTATAATCCTGTACATCATATACTTTCACGTGTTGGTCCAAAGATCCAGTAAATAGTCTAGTGCGCTGACTATCAAAGCATAACGATGTGATTGTCTTTTGATGATTAGAGACAGTTTGTATTAATCTTCCGCCCATTAAAAGATCCCATACTTTAAAATAAGGGCCACCTGGACAGGCAAACGATATCGAAAAGATTTTTAATGATGAGCATTAAGGGAGGAGGGAAACTGTTATGACGCAGAATTCATGATAAAATCCCATTCGACGAGTGGTTTGGAGCATCCCGTTACTCACAACTATAGTTGTTACTCACCCGCTGATATTATCACTCCATCTCCGGGAAACATTAAAACGTCTTCGACCGGATACTCGTGTTTCATTGTTAGGGCGCACTCTTTAATGCGTACGTCCCATAACTTTACTGTCTCATCGTACGATCCGGAAAGCAACAGATTCCGGTTACTCTCACTAAACAATCCTGCACGTGCATAGTCCTGTGAAAATGGAGAGAAGGAAGGAAATGTAAAGGACAAGATCAGAAAAGGAAATAGAGTACTCTTGATATGACATCCTCAACCAAAGACACATGATGACCTGCCTGATGCTCATCAAAGCAAGCTATGCATTCTTGCGTAGGAATATCCCAAACCCTAACAGTCTTGTCATCTGAGCAAGAGAGTATTTGCGTATTTACTGGAGAGAATTTTGTTACTTGTACCGGACTAGTATGTATGAGAAACAACAATAGGAGAAATATGATAGGAGAAATATGATAGGAGAAATATGATAGGAGAAATATGATAGGAGAAATATGATAGGAG